TGCTCGTGTAATTTTTAAGAAAAAAAGTTAAAGTTTTATGCATGGTGTTTTTATGACACATGTATTAAATGACTGATATATCATATTACATTAATTTTTAAAATACTTTAATCTACATAAAAATTATATAAATATTTAGAGCAAATCGCTTTTTATCTTTGCAAAAAATTAACTCCATGTAATCTTTTTATATACAAGCGAAAACTGATATAAATATCGTGTATAAACAGCTAATTATTTATTATCCAATATTTGATAACTTATTTAAAAATGCTAACCTCATGTTTAAAATGTTACCAAGTAATTATTAAACATGAAACATTAAATTATTTGTATTTTCTAACAACAGAATATTAATATTATGATCAAGAATATTTCTCAATATTATTTTTTTATTTTAATAAATTATAAAATAACCTTTTTTATCATTAAAAGATATTAGTTCATATATTATTAATATATAAAATGGGGGAATGTACCCCTCTCGCTGATTATCCCCAAATGATCGATCGTGCCTCCTTGATCTTGAACGAACGATTGATCAAGAGACCAGAGGCAGATGTTCAACAGTACGGTAGTTTCTAACCGTATTAACGATTATTAACGGATTCTAAACAAACTTCTATTTGAAGTTGTGTTGACAACATATTTAATTTTGAAAATATAAAGATTGCAATGTAATGAAATAAATCTATAGAAAAAGAGCGGCACTGAATTTGTCAAAACGCGAGGTATTCTGTACATAATTTATAATAATTGTACTGAATTATTATATTTATGCCATGTAATACTTTCAAATTAATATCAATGCTGAAGTATAAAAGTACTTTTATTTAAAATTAGTGTTTATTTATTTGTAAAAATAATTGAAGATTAATTTAGAGCATATGCGCTCCTGCATATTTTATAAATGAGAGAATTAATGTATTTCCAGATGAATGAAGCTCCTTTCCTTCTGCTTTCAAATCTGTATTTTTCTCGATGTCATTTATCGACGTAAACCAAATTACTCAATTAATACCTATATGATTTGTAATTGTAGTATTGACTTGCCAATAAGTAATGAAGAGAATGAATTGCGTTTTCACGCCGGCGATTTACATTTTAATTATACAGTGGCATGTAAATGTTAATCAGAATATTTATATTGAACATATTGCATGGGCAATGTCTCAACAACTCAGCCGACGCTCGCATCAATACATCATGTCGTCGTTCGAGTTAATTGGCCGATGTTATATAGCTTGCTACTTTCGTGTTTTCGCAGAATCACTTCATGTGATCGTATTAAAATCCTACGCGAAATCCAATAACATATATACAATAGAAACTAAATTCCAAGAAATTTTGCGAAAATATATTATGAGTATCTGAAGATATATGAGATTAATTACAAAATTAAGAGTATTCAGATATTAAAATAAGAGAAAAATTTTGTATAAGTAGTTGTGTATAAAACCGAGTTGTTTTACAAATTACGAAAAATGTAATATTAATTTGATAATTTATACAGAAAGGACGATTTTGCTAAAAATTTAACCAGATATATAGATCAGAAAATAATTTTACTAGACCATTCAAATTATTATATAAGGAGGTTTAAGCATGATGATAATAATACTGCAAAAATTTTTCATTCTAATAATCAATTTGAAAAAGTCCTACATAATTATTTTGATAATCTAACAAATTTATTTTCAGATTTGTATCTGAATGTTTAATAATTTTTAAATACTTTAGCTAGCCAAACTATTCCTTCTCTACAAACATATAATAACACTAATACCTATTCGAACTCGCGGAAATTGAGACAAATTTCAATTACGCATTATGCGATCATTGCCGCGTAAATGAATTTCATTTGTACGCATGCGGAAATCACGCAATACACCACATGAAGAGAAGTATGCAATAATAACAAATGCCCATAAAACAGGAAGATGCAAAGTTAAATTCGCATGCCGATTAACTCCTCCGATCCCGAGAATATGTTATATATACCGCGGTATATCAGGTGCGTCAAGAAAAATGACTCACGACCATTTTTCCCTCGGGGCACCACGGATCTCTGTCTTTCCGTTCCGCATTCATAATAATGCGTCCCGCATATCCTATGGTATTATTCCACAATATTATCGCCATCGCTCCACCTCATTGGAGCATTACGAACTCGCGAGTCCTCGCGAGAAATCCACCCGATCGGAAACGGACGATAATCAGGCTCGTTAATTGTCTTCATCGGAATCGCCGTTAGCCACTACACTTAATTTGCCGTTTATTGCCGCGAGACATCATCGATAAATATGATGAAGGAGGATTGGGCTTTCCGTGTTATTAATTTTCAACGATACACCGCCGTCGGATAAATAAATAGCGATAGCTCGGAGATGAGTTCGCGAGGTCGAGAACGGAAACGAGAGTAAGAAAGGCGTGTGCGGCAGCGAGACAGAATTACATGCGATTAGAATATCAAGAATATCAACGTTTGATTCTGGTAAAGCAAAGCTGTTTGAATGTCTATTTTGAAATTCTAATCTTGTTCCACGATTTTATAAAGACGCTTGAATCCTCATTACATCAATCTCCTAGATCCAGTAAACAAACCGACTAGCAGAAACATTATATTAATATTATAATTTCGTATTCAATAATGCAAGTGTTACGTGTAATATGTGTTATATTATACTTGCACTTGTCAAAAGTTTTAAACACGCACAATCTCTTATTTTAATAATAAATATTTTATTGGCATAACAGAAAGAAGTGTAAATCTATATCTAAATCTATTTCTCTGTATCAATAAAATATCTCTTGGCTTATTTATTTTGTTATTTTTAATTTAACCGGAAGAGATAAATGTGTGCGCAGACTTTTGATAGATAGTAATATATTGTTAAAATGAGAAATAATGATATTGATGATGTAATGTCATGTATTAGTGCACGTTTACCGAGGCGTTAATTCACAAACTTAAGTCGATATAAATTTTTAAATAAATATCTGGTAGTCCGAAAGGTTAAATCACAACCTTGAACCGTAAGTTAAGATCGTAGAGATGGAAACTGGATTTTCGGGATTTCACCAACCTCACGTTTTACAATCGTCGTGCCGATCTTTCCGCTCGATACCATCCCCATGCGCTTTATTTGCAGGCCAAGACGGTCGTATCTTCGAGGATCTACACGATTTTCGTGAATTATCAACATCAGTACTTATTGACGAGTCACAGAAACGTGACGTCACGATCGGCTACCACGAATACTTAATTAAGCGCATCACAATCGACGATTAATTACTCGCGCGCACGCGCGCACATGTGAGTTTAATGAAGTTAATTAAGAATCTAATATCGCGGCGAACGTACATCAACGATCTTGTACGTGCGATTATGTCGGAAGTTTTTCTTTTCTTTATCCGGCGAAATATCCTATCGCCGCTTATTAATATTTTACGATGCGCACGCGTGAGGTATTCGATTGATGGACGATTGAAAATATAAGGTCCACCTTTGCGAAAACGCAGCGAGATAAATTGACTAACGGGACCGCGATAATATAGGAAAGCCAATTTCATTTCCGATTTTTGTCCCCGTGATCGCGAGCCGATAAACGCAGCATATGACTTATGCGAAATCCGTGTGTTCGAGAATCTTAGAAGTTTTGATGTCACAATCTGTCATTATCACGTATCTAAACAAAAAAAAAAAAAAAGAAACTTGAGTCAGATGGAGGCAAGGCTATCATTATATTTATACGCCATTTGTTTCGTTTGTTAAATGCCTTTCTAAACAAATGAGAGTTTTGCTCATTCGAGCACCATCTCTTGAGAGAACGATTAAAGGATGAATAGAGATACGTTTAGAAAAAACGATCTCAATAATACTTATAACTTGTCGATAATCTGCGAGATAATCGGATCGTAGGAAAAATCGCCCACGATTGCTTCCTTCCTGTACGTTTTTTCCTCTGTGCGTGCACGGGGTATACTTCGCGATCCGCATCGAATTGTACCGTACGATATCTAAATCGCGATCAATCTGATATCTCACGGCGATGTGGCAGCCGGCAGCGGCGGTTGCGATTGCAATTGGCCAGCCAGGTCGTCGTCGTTGCAGCCTGGTTGCACGGCCCGAGAATAGAAATCCTGTTTTCGGCGGACCCATAATCGTAAAAGTTGCTGCCAACCAGTTCCTCGGGCACACTCTTACGGTGATATTCTAGTCCCGTGATTTCCGTATAACCGACATTTGCCGATCCGCCGCTGCCCAGGCGACAGTAAATTATGAAAAATCCTCCGCCACTTCTTTATAAACTCACCGTACCGTCGCCTCATAAATTTCGAGAATTAGCCCCGCTTCGATAACGCTTGCTTACGATAAGCCGGTCGGCCAACTAATTTTTCATGTACTCAACTACGAAGTATGTTATTGATTTACGCTTGATTACTTCCATTACTTCCAGCTTTGGATGGAATACATAATTCCAAACGTACGTGGAAAAAAAATCATTTTCGCTGAAGTATTTAAAAATTCGGCCGGGTACAAATCTAAAAATAATTTCTGTTGGACTATCAAAATTTATTAAATTTTATTATACGGGACGCTTAACTATGGTGAAAATAGTGTGCAAATTTCTTTTTTAATTCTAATAAATTTAAACGTTCAATATAATTACTTTCATATTTATATACTTGATCAAATTTCTAGATACTTCAGCAAAATTTTTCTTTCCGCGTAGCTTGATAATTTCTACTTCTAATTCTTCTAATGGTTTATGTTATAACTCCATCGAAATGTTTATTCTCTTCTGATTTTATTAGCTAAAGTTCAACAACATAATCGATACACTTTGTACAAACCTTACAGTAATAATGGTCTTGTTCTGGATCGTTGATGTTGTTACAGTCGATTTTCAGCTGCGTTGCTCCCCAACACGCTTTGTAACGAGATGCTCGACCGCAGACGTTGTTCTACGGTAACTAAAGCCGATGGCTTGTCGAATTTACTGATCGACTTCCGAGTGCATGGTGTTCAACAGAGCGAAAAAGGAGTACGAACCCTTCAGAATCTACAAAAAGAATGTCCGATGACACCAATCGATAAAATGATTGATCGATCTTCCGTGATGGAAGGACAGAATTTGCAAGTGGGAGCAAAAAGAAATGTATATAATTCGTGTAGTAACTAATTAAAATATCTAACTCTTAATTATCTTATTTATATCAATTTCTATCAATGTAGATTATTTCTAATTTCATTAATTTAATTTTTTTCTCAATTTTTATTTTCTTCTCATTCTTAGAAAAAGACATAAAATTAAATCGAGATTTAAGTTAAACTATCTTTGTAGAAATGAACATTATTAATTGCGGATGTAATTCAAGATATTTTTCATATATACATATATAATGTCTTGAATTATATCCGCAATGTTCATTTCTACAAAGATAGTT